ACAGTGACCTCTAAGGACCCTTATGTCCAAAAGGCCTACCTTTCTTTCCCAATGAATCTATATACAACCCTGGACAGACCATTTATGACTTCTTTCGCTCTATTATCAAATCTTTTTCCTCTATGTTCTATGATCTCAGAATTTCACCCTGTGAACTCACTCTGGTAACTGGATAACAGAAAATCTTCAAAGTATTTTTTTAGACAACAAATGCTTTACTTACTAAAGTTGCTGCATTAATATTTTTCTACTCTGAACATTACACCAAGGAAAACGGCTTAGAGTTAGTACTGGGAATTACCCATGATTTCTGTGGCTCAGTAACATTCAATCTACATTGACTAATTGAAATCTGTATACAAAGTTGTAATATTTTGCTTGATTTGAAAATTAAAAGGGCATACTTTATTACATTAATTTCATCTTGTGCACAATTAAATATATAGTATATAAAATTTTAAGCCTTTGCTGATCTTGAGAAAATAATTTGATGCAATGGAGTATTTTGTTAATGTATGAAAATTTAGCTGTGAATGATGTAACATATTTAGAGCCCACTTTTTAGTCATAAGTAAATTGTAATTAGATGATAGAGACCAAAACTCTAGAATTATCTTTTTAAAAATATTTCCTTTATATAGGTCCAAACCCTCACATATATGTCTAGTAGTGGAATGATACATTCAGGCTTAATAATGTTAAATACTATTACAACTTTTATCTGACAGAGATTGCTGATTCTACTTGTTTAATTTGAAAGGATTAAAATGGACCACATAATCTGTAAACTGTTAATAGAAAATTTTAATATAATGAGATTTTTTGTGGCATTTGCATTCTGAATTGAAATATCATGGAAGTATCACATGATTAGTTACTACAGTGGGCTATTAAACGCATGTCTCCCATCATTGCAATTTTTTGTTATTTAAATCATGAGATGCTTACCTTTGGAATAAGTAGTAGGCAGAGGTGAACCTTACACTGAGAAAATTATTTAATGATTTAAATGATTATCTTAATTTTAGCTAACTCCAGAATTATTTAATAATAATTAAGTTCCAAGTATCAGTCCATGAAAAAAAATCTAAAAATAGTAATTTTCATTATATAACATTCAATAATTTAAAATTAAATGCTTAAGAAAGTGTTAGAAGAGTCCAGAGTGGTAAAATATTGAAACTCAGGAAAGATGTTTAAATGTTTTTAGGTGATAGCATTATAACTGGCTATAATTTATATATCCTGGCAGAGAGGTTAAATTTGAGTTAAGGATAGTTTGTTTTTTAATAGAAGTGAATTGTTCTGTGAATGGTTACAATTGCATAAATTAGTGAAACTAAAGTTGTAAATTCCCCGTTATATCTCTAACCAAAGTACTTGCTTTTGTCAGCTTTCATTTAGTTGAGACACAATTCAAGATTCACCTATAACTTGTAGGAGGACAGGTTTAAATTGACTCATGCTTTCAGGGGATCAGCTGGAGCCAAGGCAATAATAGCATGACAGAAGAGCATGGCAAAGGTGCTTATTTCATAGTGGTCAGGAAGCACAGCCAGGAAAACATTCCAGAGGAGACGGTGGAGGTACCTATCATAGCACCCAAATTCACACTTCTAGGATTCACCCAGAAATAGCCAGAGGGGTGTTTTTCCTTCAGGGGCTCCCAAGACTATCTCTTCTACCTAATTAAATTTAACCACCACATGACTATGTCCTGATGGCCAAGAGAGCAGGTTAAACTTTACATAAAAATTCCAGCTTTTTTATCACATTGAAGTACTGTGAAAAGGATATTTACTTAATTTCCCTTTCCCCCAGTTTCTCAGTCAGAACCTATATGAGAGGATAAAAGGATTTAGCCAAAAAATCAAAAAACAAATCAAAAGCAAATAAACACCAAAGAATGAACATGCATTGTATGTATAATAAACATGCCATTTCACTATTTTTCAGAGGTTTGAGAATTATTTTAATTATAGATGAAGGAGAAGTGTTGCAGTAGTGTATCTATGTTTATACCATACACTACCACTAAAAACAGTATCTCTGCAAAGTATGTCTAGACTACCATTTATGATGTGCATAATGGCACCTACAGTGGAATACACCACATTCTCCCTCATATGCTTCATCAATTATTGACTAAACCTTATAAGTTTTTATATTTTATGGTACCTTTCATATGATTAAGAAGTAAAAAACAGTTGAACTATAAAATAGGTATGCCACTGTTGTTAGGGGATATATTTAGTAGGATTTCTCCAAAAGTGTAGCACCGACACTTTGGCTATATAAAACACATTTGTGTGTTTTCATAAAAATTACACAGATATTTCTCATTATGGATATTTTTTCCCTTGTGCCCATAGTCTTCCTCAATTTTGCTGATAGAAACTTCATTCAGTTTTCATATAAAAACAAAACAAAAACCTTGGCATCATCTTTAACTATTCTTCTCTATTTAAATCTTCTAGGGGTTGTGTCAAAAATAACTTTAGTTATTATTTGTCTTTAACTCAGACATGTTATATGTCCATCTCCTTCTATCTTCTCTGCAGCCACCACAGTCCTGCTTTTTTTTTTCCTTTTCCATTGTTTTTTGGTACATTTCAGGTATACAATACAGTTACATGCATCATTAAGATCTTGTACCTTTACATTATCTATCCTTTTTTTTTTCACCTTAAATGATATATCTTGATTCATATTTTTTCTCCATTCCCCTGCACAATGCTTCTTTTTACCCTCTATTTCCTGGACTGCTACAACAGCCTACCCTTGACTTCCTGCTGTCAAATGCAATGCCCACATCAAAAGTCCTCTACAAGCCTCCATTTGGTTATCCATGAAATGAAGATTATAACTCCTAATGACTGTTATAAGTATTTAGGTGATCATATAT